AAGGAAATATAAAAAAGAATCATAATGGTTGGCCTAATGTTAGTAAGTCAAGACTTTTTTATACCTTGTTTAGGGAACACACCACCTACCAATAATGAAGATTTCGAATAAAAATAACATTTTATTTTTGGCAAATTAGTGCATTGCCGCCATGAAAAAATGGAAATTTCAGAAAAAAAATATGTTTTTCTTTATTTTTATTATGCCCGCCACTGTCTTGAAAACTCCAAAAATATGATGCATTTAACCATCCCATACTACACTGTTTACATTCAGCAATAAAACTTCATTTTTATTTTCTCCTCCATCTGGATGTTTTTGGCAAAACCATTTGCTAAATAAGGAAACCAAATTTTTTTTCCGCCCTCATCTGACGGTTTTTAAAAGACAATCAATACTTATTCAAGAATGATGTATAAAAAACGTCAATAAAAGTGACAATTTTTTAAAATTATAAGATTAATATTTCAATATTGAGGAAGTTCATACTTATTTATAAAATTACAGAAATTAGTAGATAATTGTATGTTGATGATAATAATGGTAGTGGTATCATAATTTTAAATATTCTATATTTGTACTCAAAATGATGCAAAGATTAGATTTTGTCAGTGTAAGATAGTATACAAAGGATAATCTACCACAGTCAGAAGACTTTTTCAGTTGGGTCCTGGATATGAATTGGTCAGACAGTACACCTAGACACAATCCACTACCTGTAGAGCACTGCTCTTTAACGTGCAGGTGGACCATTATTACACACTGGACCAAAGGCTTAAGTGTCTCATCCGAAAAAACACGGTGAGCTACTGAAACTTTCATTTCAAACAGCGTCTTTGATGTTAATGATAATAGTTTTTTACTCATCAAACATGTTAATAATATTTATGATGATGATAATTTTGACAATGATGATAATGATGTGACGGTGATGATAATAGTAAAAAAGTTTCCCCTTGCACAAACATGGTAAAATTGAAGATGAAAATAAATTATATTTTTACAGCATTATAAATTGCATTATAATTTAATGTACAGTAGTGTGGTCTAAAAATTACAACCTTACCCCACTTCAGTTTATTTTGTGTAAAAAAAAAAACTTTAATGTAACTATTGGGGGCAGCAAACAAGTTTTGTTTTCAATTTTGTTTTTAACTTCTGAATTTGAAAGTACATCCCTTTATACTTGTCCAGACTAACAAATTTTATTTGACAAAACACATGTGACATGCCTAAATATGGTCATGACGACATCATATATAGACACATCATCACTAAATATGGGCATGTAGCAGCTTTATTTAAAACTTACAGGTGTCCTTCCTCATAAACCTAGATTTTTAGTGTCAAGTTATCCATCTGCTTTTCTTCCCAATTTTTATTACTTAATACAATATCATCACAAGATAATAAATTTCAATGTCTGTTATTTGTACTTTTGAAATTTTGTATCGTAACCATGTGACAATAATATTAATTTGTATGTTGATTTGTAATAACCTTTTGTAAAGCCAAAATTTAAGTAATTTGCTTTATTTTTGGCTTACAAAAAAAAACAGAATGCAAATTTACATACAAATTGATGAAGCCAGATGAAAAGCTTTGAGAATATTGTTAATTTGGTTGAATACAGATGTCCAGTAATACTGTGTATAATAAGCATCACAAAATCATATTAATATTGTTTTCCATGTCATATTTCCTACCATTCCAGATTACTTGTGATTTCAAGGAAGTATTAAAGCCAGTTTTTTTCAAATTCCAATTACAGTAAAATTCAACTTAAAATGCTTTCTCTTTTTGTCCTTTTCATCATTTTTTTTTCCTGTTGTGCAATGTGCATTTTTTCCTGTTTTCCTGCAATTGTGGTACCCTAGTCCAGTTTTACATTTTTTTTTCATTGTAGAATAAATATTTTGTTTTACTGGAGATAAATAAATAAAATGAAAAGTAATAATAATAATAAATAATAAATAATAATGATAATGAAAACTAAATAAATAATAATAATAATAAATATTAATAATGCCAAAAATATTTTTCAAATAAATGGATCAGGAAATTTTGCATTCTGTCTTTTGACAGTAGATAAAATGAATGTATGAAATGAATTAAAAACATGAGTATAATACAATTCTTTACAGGCGGATAGAGGAATGTTTAAACTTTTCACCTTGAAGAGAAATATTCGATTGCGAACAAGTCATGTTGAAGAAGTTTGCGTGCGACTCTTCACAGTCAGGTTGTTGTCATTAAATTAAGGTTTGTTTTCCCTGTGGAGTAATTGCTAAATCTATTAAACCCAGTGCTTTCACGAAGAAATGCCCGTACAATTCTTCTGGGTTACAATTCCCTTCGCAAATCAAACAGCAGGAAGCTTTTCTCGTCAACCAATAACCGTATTCAGACACGTAGTGTCATCTTGCCTTCGGGGGTAATATGAGCCGCGGCGTTGAAAACTCACTGTGTATTGTACCATGTAAGTATCTTCACGGCCAAACGGATAATTAAGTGGATTCAATTCTGTTGCGATGTAACAACTCACGATAAAAGGATAATAGCTGGATATTTCTCGTGCTTGGCGCCTTTCTGCGAAAGCCGAGTCTTGTCGCGTGAGTCTCCTTGTTTTTGATAACAGTTTATAAGATTAATTCAAGTGGCAAATACCTTCAAATGATTGCCCAGAGGGAATTTACTCTCGTCCTCGGTATCTCTCTGCTGTTGCAAATCTGATTGTAAAATTTGTCGCGTTGTGAAGGAAATCTGATTGGCCGTCAATGCTCAATTAAGTGTTTTTGTAACAATAGGGAATCATAGCCGGTTCGTGTTTGTCCCTGCGTTGTCTAATTCTATTAATCCCGAAAGGTAATACGCATAGTGCAAACAGTATCCGTATTGAGTGTAGACAATATCAAATCGAAAGATTAGATTTATGTAATAACATTAATCTATTCTGTTTATTGATTGGTTTTTTTCACCACTTACTTGCGAGATGGATCGTCGCTGTTTATGTTACAAATTAGAAAATCCATTGATGATCCATATGACTGTAACGGTTCATATTCGAGATGCTTTGTCCTGCAGTGTAATCACAATGGTTCCTTAAAGAACCGGTGCTGTCTTCAACGCATTTAAATCCTGGTAACTCTATGGCTGTTAATTTCACCATTGTCATCTTAATGCCTCATTGCTTAGTAATCAGGACAATACAGCCTTGTGTTAATTGAATTGTAATTTAAATCTCTATCTCATTTGCAGCGAGATAAAAATGTATTCGGGCAATTTATTATTCACACTTTCCACTTAGTCTTTTTGAAACTGGCTGTCCCCTAATCTTGTGTTAATACCAGTATAAATATTGGGGGTTTTTAATTGTTAAATTATTATTAAAATTTTACAGGCTTTTTTTGTAAAAGAAAATTAATATAAAATTTACAAATGTACAACACTGAAGACTATAAATATGTTAACAATAATATATCATATGGGTATTATGTATATTTGTATTAATGTGTTGGTTGTAGTACAGTATTCTTAATTATTAACATTATTTATTGGTATTAATTAATGTAGTATACCATCACTATTGTATATTTAAGGCCAACAAAAGTCATCACTCTTTGCCTGCTGGTGCATATAGCATGAATATTGTCATTAAACAATAATATTATTGTCAGGGAGCCCCCACATGCATAGATGGGGGAAAACCCTTGTAGACAAATAAATCCCATGGTTGGGGCTAATGGTAGTCTGGCCCCCTCCATCTATAAAATACCCTCTGACTGCCCCCTCTCTTTTGAATTCCTGGATCAACCACTGGATTTTATATCATGCTATTAACAATTATTACCATAACACTGAATACATTTTTTATTGACATTGTTTCACTATACACTATTATGTTTATGATACTTATGATGATGTTAGTAACAATAGTAACTATAATTTCAGCATATTATTCAAGTGTGTTATGCTTCAGCATATGTACTTGTTTATAAATAATAAAATTAAATGAAATGGACTGGTTTATAATTAATACTCAAATAAAAGAAAACTCTGTTCCTAAAGAGAATGCTAGCCAGTCACTTTTTAAATATTTAAATTTGAATGTTGTACAGAGGCCAATCTGATATATTAAAGAAAATATATATGAAGTGATACAGTGACAAAAATTGTATTTCAGTGTTTTAAGTTGTATATTTGCAACTGTTCTCAGTTAATTTGCATATGTTATATGTGTTTTTGAGGCACATTTTGAGAAGCTTTTTTTCAGAATTGATATGAAAACCAACACAAAATGTATCAGTTGTTTACCTTTAGAGGCAATTTTTTTGTATGTTACCATAATAAATTTGAAAATAATTTTTCTCCAGTTGTGCTCAACCTAGGAATCTGATTTAAAGACCATAATATAGCTAGCTTATAGTGTCATCTATCTAAATAACTCATTTTTCTTGTTTGATACCACAAGACGACACCTCACAAATTTACTATCAAGGAGATTATGTCATCTTGTAAACGGCGAGTCACTTGATGCTGGATAGAATGAAATAAGGAAAGATATTCTCTCTTTTGAGGGGAATAAATAGAAATGGAACCATTAGGTTCACTGATAAGATCAGTGGCGAATTCAAGAGGGGTGAGGGGAAGCCAGCCCCCCCCCCCCAATTTTGTCAAAATTGGTTTTTTTTAAATGGAGAAAAAAAGAAAATTATATTCAAATAATTCTGAGAGTGCCATTTCCAGCCATCTAGAGGTGGAGGTGCCATAATCATGAGTTTTCTTACCTCATCCCCAAACATGGTTGGGCTGAGGTGGCACTTACCCTTCATCAGTGAAAGTCCCTCTGGGCCCCTCTATTTCGAATTCCTGGATCCGCCAATGAAGACAGTATGAAAGAAAGTGAATTAGTGATTGTCTTGTATCACTTTCTTCTGAGTTATGCCATCTTATGTCAAGAGTAATAGCACTAATAGATCAAGCATACTGTAGTAAATTTCTATAGTTACAAACTTTTGAAATTTTAATTTAACATCATTCAACATAATATTAATGATCGCAAACTTCACTATATGAGGCGAACACGAGCCAAACCAGTCACTCCTAACAAATCGTCTTTCAAAGACAATAGCCAAAACATGTTGGAATGTCAGTTTTTGAAATATATTTTATTACACTAAACTAAAATTTATATATCTATACATCATGGATTGTTATTTTCCCCATTATCAACATTAAAACAACATTTTTTAAGGTTTTGGTGGTGATTTTCTACCTGAGGAGTGTCCAAAAATCGTAAACAGGCTGATTTCTCAAAAACTCCTATAAATTCATAACGAAATGTATTTAAAAAATGTTTTTACCATTTTATAACTTCATTTTATTAATTAACCATTAATAACTAAAAATCAATTTGTTGCGAGGAGTGACTGGTTTGGCTTATTTTTGCCACATATATTCCATTGTAAGATTTACATAGATATACTACATAATATACAAATCAACGTTTAATGTTTATATTACAGTACAATGGAAATAATCAAAGTGACACAGACAGGAATCGAACCCACAACCACCAAATATACTTGGCTGGTATTATACCTCTGGACTGTGAATCTTGTATTTAGAGCTGTAATTAATTAAACTCATATTTATCTGATTTCTCCCAGCACACAAAATGTCAGTTATAATTTGATAACTGGTATTAACTATCAGTAATAGTTACTTTATAATGTTAATGAGCTGTACTGAAATATTCATGAATATCAGGCAGGGCCTATACTGTAGATTTCTAATCAAAGCTTCTTGATTCATTTTCAGTAATAAAATATCAACCCAGATTCTTTTCAAATAAACCAAAAGAGTATTTGTATTTTTTTAAATATAATAATTATGCAGTATCTTTCTCATTAAGTTTTTACTTATGATTTATTTAATGTTGAATATTTTGAGGAGTTACTTCATCCTTCTGACAATACTGGTGTTTCTCACTTTCGTGTCTGTCAAGCAAGGTTTTCAGATGTTGAGGTCTACATTTTTCCTATCACTGACCAAATCAATAGAATAAATAGAACAAAGTTGTACACAGTAAGAATATTATTAAAATTTTGTGGTTATTTACAAAAGTAATCTAATTGTATGTTTCAGTGTATATATTATTTGTTGGATCATTATATATTCTTAGATATAATTGTCTATTTTTAAATCATGAAATAAACTTTTAAAGTAAATCCATAAAATGGTGTTGTTTCTCTTATTTAATTAACGACGACTTCCACGACTGCTAGTAGCACTTGGGGGTCGCGACCCTCTTTGGCTTCCTGGTGGTGTTTGAGATGGTGATCTACCGGGGCTGATTCCGCTGACCTCAAATCCGAGGTCAATCGTAGCTTTTCGAGCAACACTTGCTCTGCTGGATGCTGCCCTGCTGGACGCTGCCCGACTTGACTCTCCGCTACGTATGGATGATGGTGTTCTGTCAGACAAAAACAACTGTCATTAATAAATCATTTAAACCAATCAAACAAGAAATTTTAATCACAATGACATGTCAGGAAGGCGCCCCCACACGAATCTCCCGGAGAATAACCCATCTCCTGCAGATTCAATATATTTGCATTTTCTACTGTATTATCAATTGTCTCCCAGAAGTCAGTGACAATGGATATCGCCATACACAGCGAAATATAATCATGTGTTAAGGAGCCTCGTTTAAACACATCTCCTGGGTGTCGGTTCTACCCATTTGGAACCCTTGCAATGACAATATTCCAAGACATACACTGATTGTACTTAATTCAACCATTGGCTGCCACTTGCAATCAGTAAATAAACCTTCAACAAAAATACAATCGGATGAGCATTCCAGGTATCATGGAGGACACAGGAAATGTATTGTCTTTGGACATACCAAGAAATTTTGGCATATAATGAATTTTATAAAATATTTTATAATGTATACAGAGAAATGTCATCCAGAATATAAACCAATTTTAGCAAAATCATCATAAGAATTAAACCAAGGAGTAAATTTGGATAGTAGAAAAAATGGAACCAAAACAAACAGAAATTAAGTGGGTAGAAGTTAAAACAACTTTGTTTTTAACTCAGTTTGAGAATTTTTCAACAAAGGTTCAATCTCTGCCATAGTCCCTATTTTGCTTCACTCAATATAGTAATTTATTGGACAACTTATTTCTATCGTGTGACAGATTATTTTTTCTTTTTCTTTCAGCATTTCTATACCACATACTAGGCCATCAGCCTAGTAAAAGCATTTTTTTGTAAAGAATAAATCTATTATTAATGAGAATTACCTGACTGAGCCTAGGCTGCCAACACTACGTCCACTGAGAGAGGAACCAGGACGAGAGCTATATTTGCCGGGTGAGCTTGGTGGTGGGGGTGCAGGTAAACCAGCCTAGTATAAATAAAATGAGTGAATAAGTAATTACATATTTGACAAACAGGACATATTATTACTTTATAAGCAAATAAGAGTAGAACAGAGTCCAACATTAATTGTCGATACAAACTTACCAAACAATGACATACAATATATACACAACACAATGCAAGTTAACACATAAGTGTAATTAATAAACTATGAAGAAATAAATTTCCTGCCAATTAACAGAAGAAAAAATATTACTAACTATATGGTTTTGCATCGATCCTTAAATTTTTTGATAATTAAGAATTATTCTTTATTCTTGATAAATCATTGATAAATTTAATTTATTTTTTCTTTGGTCCTTTGAAATTAATGAAGTTATCAGAAATCGAAAGATGACATTACAGATCTATTTAAAATGTGATCAGATTTGTATCAGTTACCAAGGTTATCAACTATCTATACTTCCCAATGAAATAATTATTGTTCAACAATAACATTCTATCTAATAATGGTGACTGTGTTGTTGATATTGAATGCTAAGCTATTAGCCATCATTTGCGTACCCTCACATTTTAGAGACAGCTGACTCATGGACTGTGTTGGGCTTTAAAGTGTTGCTTACCTGGGAGAAGAGCATCTGCGCTGTTGGTGTGAGATCAGGGTGGCCGTGGAGTACCTCTCCCATCTGTTTCATCACATTCTTGTTGAAATCACGAAGCTCACGCAAAGCAAAGTCACGCTAAATAAAAAAAAATGAAATTATAGAACATCTGTTATAATATTTTAGGAAGCAATTGTGTATGTTTTATGAATATCTAAACTGATTTCAGGGGTTTTTGCACTTTATTAACATGAGGCACTCTTCCTCATTTCTTTTCCCACGCGAATTCTATTATTTTATTATGGGCTTTTAATTCAAGAAACATTGGAAATAGTCAGTTTAACCACATAGGTATTTACAAAATAGACATATTAAGGGTAATATTAGAACTTTGAAAACACTCTCTGTGTATTGTCATTTTTACACACCTCTTCATGTGTTTCTCCTTTAACTTTCTTTGACGTTCTCAGTTCTCTTGCATATCTTGCATTTTGTTTATTCACTCTTTCAATTTTCACCTTTTGGTCTCCTAATTCCTTGCTCAACTGTTGTGTTTTGTTCTAAAAACGAAGAAAAATAGAATATTAACATAAATGTACATCGCTCTTTCCATTCAATTCTGAAGTGACTTCCTACATACAAAATTGAAATTAAGTGTACTACAGTATGTAAGCTTGCAAAATTATAAATCTATCAAGTCTGTGATACCATAAAATACACTCGCACATTCATATTGTAGTTATTCCACTAAAACCAAAAGTAACATCATACAAAGCATACTAAGAGAAAGACCGTAAAAAAATCATAAGAATGCCGTTTTTGCCCTACCTGATGTATTTTCGTACTGAATACTCAGAACGTTCCCCAATACAGTACTAGTGAAAAAAATTGCAAGTGATTCAAGTGGGAATCAAACCCACAACCTCTAGATAACTACCCTGGTTTCATAACCACTGGACCACCAAATATGAGCTCAAAAAAACAAATGTTTGGTCTGACATTACATTACTAGTCATTATCATTATATTTATTATTTTCCTTAATCCTTATAAACTCACTTCTTTCTCAGAAATCATTTCAGAATAAGCGTTCTCATCCCGCACTAAGTTATCCAGTGTGTTACTCATCGTACCAAGGTCATCCTGCAGTTCACGTATCTGACGTCTTTTGTATTTGTATTTGTCCATCACTGCACGAAGCTGCTCCTCCAGTTGTTGCTTTTCCTCATACTCTTCACCTTAAAGCAAATATTAACAGTTGGTACTAGACATTAAAGCATGCTCATACAGGTCATGTTTATTAAGACTGACTGATGAAGCAGTGCATTAATGTCTGACCTCGAACATAATAACAAGTATAAACTATCAGGCAAACTCTGTTTATACATTAGCTATTGAGCAAATAATTAAAGTAAATAATGATGACAAAAAATTGAAAAATAAAAGACTTGTGAAAAATAAGAAATATTTATGAGAAAGGGGGCATTGCATGGAATGCGATTCATTTTTTAAATATACATGAATGCTGAATGGTATCTAGTTGGAGAGTTTTCAAACAGAGAAGAGCAGGTAAATCCATATGGATGAAGCCAAGAAAACAAGGTTCATTGGCCAGTAGGTTCATTGTAAATGTTTGGATAGTGAGAAGACTTTTCCTCCCAGGAGGGGATGATAGTTGGAAACATAGAGATTGACATGGTCAGTGGAACAAGATGCTTTGCAGAATTGAAGCACCATAAGTTATTAAGATAGCTCCTAACTTAAATGGAGGGAGCACCAAGAGCTTGAGGTGCAGCTGCAAGTCCTGTGTTACTTACTTGTTTCTGTAACTCTGTTGAAACTTTTCCTGTACACTTCATTTCTACCATTCATTAGTCTCAGAGTGTTCTCCAGTGCTTTGATCTCTTTCTCTGACTTCCTGATCTTTGCATCCAGATCATCTCCTTTTCTTTGTAATTCTTCTTTCTGTTGCGCTGCCTGGAAGAAGAGGATTTAGGATTGAGATCTTGAGGTGGAGATGAGATCAGGTGGATTTTATGATTGGTTGAGATGTGGATTTAAGTGGATTTCTTAAGATTAAAGATTAATTCAATTGGATTTGATGAGGGTGGGATGACATTTCATGACTCGAGAATAAAGTACAGTAGATTAAGTTTGACATCAAGTGGATTTTATGAGATTAAGGGGATTTCATATGGTTGGGATGAGCTTATGTATATTTATAAGGTGAATAGATTAGAGGAATTTTATGAGGTTGGGGATTAGAATCTAGTTTCCAGGTGTTATTTAGTAGTTTTCAACATACACAATCCAACTTACCTGTATAACATAGTAGGCTTGGGAACGGTCCTCCTCCCCCTCAGGTGGTGCCATGGAGATCATCAGTATCTCATATCTATTGGATCAAGCAAATTCACAATCATGCTGTAATTCCACTAGATTGAAATCATTTTATATCAACTAAAGGGTTAGTAAGTTATTTTCAAATCATTATTTCACAAATTATAAAATAAAACATTATAAAGTTAAAAACAAGTGAGGACCTATTATATTAATGAAAATGTATGTTTAGGAAATGGAATGAATTATCAGCGAATCTATAGCAATCAGATTTTAAAAGACAATCTCATCTTAACCCAAGCACACACTACGGTCAATGCAATGCAAAGGACAATGAAGGTAAATAATTGTTTCTAATGATGCAACACTTTTAGCGCTCACGCCAAGTGGAGATGGAATCACCCACATAGTACGTGCCTGGCTAGCTACAGTTCCATCCTTAAGTATACTGACCTTTTGCGCAACTTGTCGATCTTTGATATGCGTTCATGTAGTTCCATGCTAACCGTAGACTTCTCTTCATCAGATGCCTTCAATTGTGCCTTTAGCATGTCTTTGTGGATGGCTATCTCCTGACGTCTTTCTTTCATTGCCTACATTGTGAAAAAGTTGTGATGTTTATTAAAATTTGTTTTGTCTGTAATAATAATAAATTGGCATTTATATAGCGCATATTGCATGGACTATGCACTTTACATCAACTAAAGAGGAATGAGAACAAAGTATAAAAATAAAGAGAAAAGGCATGTGGTGGCAAACATGCATGGAGTACAGTATTTCAATAATTTTTATTATGAGAAAAACAACACACAAAATACAATCTTATTGACTTTAATTAAAATGTTATTATTCCTATTGTTTTAATGTTGTATATTTTTATGAATTATTGTTTTCACTAAGTATCTGAACAAGAGTTCAGCAATTAATATTAGACTATACTAGTTGCCTGACATGCCACAGCCCCGAGTCCCTTTATTTTGTGTCAAAATGAATAAACACCCCATGCCTTTATTATTGAGAAGGGTTTTTGTAAGGGTGTTTATTCAAGAGAGGCATTTATTCAAAGGAGATATTTATTTTTTTTGGTGTAAAATGAATATGTAAATACTCAATTAAACGCTCCTTGATAATAACTACAATACATAATTACCGGGGCGTTTATTCCAAATGAGGCTCTGGAGGGGCGTTTATTCAAAAGCGGGGAAGCCTTTATTCAAATAAATACGGTATAATAAATGAAACAGAGGCACCATTATGTGTGCATAAGTGAATTTCTTACCGTTTCCAACTGCAGTCGTCTCTTTTCCAAGCTGAACACAGTGTCTGCTTTTGAGTTTAGAATATCTCTCAATCGCTTGATTTCAAGTTTTAAGATGTTTTCATCAACCATCAAATCCTGCAGTAATAAACCCAAAATACAAAGAATAATTATTTAGATTCAACTTATTTGTCATATACTGCAAAAAAAATACATTTTCTTTCAATTCATATGCTTATTACACAGTATTATAAATATAAAAGTTAAATACAAAGCACATAAAAATATATAATACAAATAATAACATTATTATCTAACAAACAAATTTTATATTACTTCTTCATTAAACTGACTGTGAAACTTTTACTAATTTCAATACATAACTAGAGCAGTCACTCCATAAAGTGCATACCGCCACTGTGCCTGAATAACATACAATACGCAGACAGTGTATGACCGATTAAATTATTAGGTTCAGAAGCAATAAAGAGACAGTGAACTAAACTCCTAAGTGTGTTTTGCGAGGAACTTTCAAGTTAAAAAATGGTTAAGACACTTGCCTGCTTCTGTGAAATAACTTTCTTGAGAACTCTTTGTGAGCTGTCATTGTGGAGATTCAATTCCTCTATCTTGCTTGTCAGATCATCTTTCTCTTTGCCGCTTGTCTCTAAATCTCGCTTCACTCGCCTTATGTCATCCTGATGGGTAAAAAAATCTATCATTGGTGAGGGCAGTATTAATTTAATAATTATTATATTCGCTAATTGTATCTGTAGTTTTAATTAATTAAAATACAATTTTCACAATTTATATGAATTCCTCTTAAATTTCACTTTTTCAGTATTTTAAAATTAATGTTACTTCGGTTAGTTATTCTCTTTTTATGATTTAAAAAAAATAATATTTGAAATATTTGATTTGAGTAAATTTTGAATGTAAGTATTATTTATTTATTACTTGTAGTAGGAAAATATTGTTTATTCATTTCTTTTGATAAAATGTGTTTATTATTTGTTTAATCATTGGTATTGGTATCCTAACTACAAAATGATAATTCATTCTCACCTGTAGTCGTTTCAGCTGGGCGCTAAGTAATTGGTGTGTGTTGTTGCGGACGTCCAACGTGTCTGTCAATTCCATGATTTTGGCGTTCAGGGCATCCATCTCTTCAGTGCTTCTTTCACCCTGGAGGCGTGAAATCTTCCGCTCAAGTTGCTGAATGTTAAAGTCCTGCAAGAGAAATAAAATGTTTTTACGTTCACGTACACACTTGAAAAACATCCAATACAGTTTGGGCTCTCACATTGAGGTCAGGGTTCAAACCTCTCGCTCTGCACTGGCAGGATGTTGCGAAATTGAATGTCATGCAGTGTAGCATGACTAGGTGGACTCCCCCGGATGGCGAAGATTGTTCTTAGAAAGCAAAGCATCTTGCGCACCAAGCTATTCATCTCCACATAAAGATCTTTGGGTGCTGGTATTTGGAGGTAATAAAAAAAAAGATTACCTGATTATATATAATCTCCTGCTGCTTCAAGGAATCATGGTCTAGCTTACTGATGCGGCTTGCAAGATTACGGATGGCAGCTCTTGATCCCTGGATCCCTGCTGTTGTGTCTTTCTCCAGCTTTTTGCTGTTGTACAGTTCTTGCGCTTTGCGATACTGCAACTCTCGCAGGTGACGGAGTTCCTTTTCCAACTCTTTCATGTTGTCTTCCTCCTCCTGAAGGAGTTGGTCCATCATGGCAGCGTTCTCTTCTGCAGTCATTGATGCATCCATGATGAGATGATATTTGTCATTCAATTGCTGGTTGACTTCTCTAGCCTGCTGGACTCTGTACAAAACATTAAATTTTATCACCATCATAATATTCGGTTTCACGTCTGTTTTTCGTGCTAGCATGGGTTGAATGACTTTTAGTAACTTTATCCTAACCCAGGTTTCTACTGACTCGAAACAATAATTTTTAAATGAGTAATAACTTAAGCCATATTAATAAGTATATGTATGAAATTGAAGACAGTTTGGGTAGGGTCTGTTTCAACCAATCATGAACCAATATATTTCAATGTGACTAAAGGGTTGCTCCATTTGTCATGTGGAGTTTTTGACAGCTGCGGGTCGATTGCAGTTTTTGTAAACAGAAACAAGAAACAATGGTTTTAATTTTTCAAAAATTCTTTGGGAATAAGTTGGGTCATGTGTGTCAGTTTAATGCCTTGCTTGAATTATCTACTACGCCAATATTTAGTGAGAAATGTTTTGCTTACCTCATCTTTTTATCCTCAACATCTCTCTTTAGCTCGGTGACTGTTTTTCGCATTCCTTCTAAATCTGTAGCTGTTCTTTCTACCGTACACTTTAGGGTCTCCAACTGAAATACATAAAAAAAACCCAATGATAATTGAAATGTATATATTATCAATAAAAATTGAAATTCTGTATATACCAACTATGTAGGGATATATAACTATTATTATGTAATCTTTTTTTTTTTTTCCCTTTCTTGTCATGTTATGTAATTGTGGTTTGATGTATTATGTTATGTTGGAAATATGAATTTAAAAATATAAAATCATGTAGGGACACATCTTCAAAACAGCAGCTGTGTTTAACAGTCAGTTGAGCTTGTGTGATAGACAATCAAGACATTAAGAATCAAAACGTAATTTGGTTTAGAAATATATCAATGTGGAACCATATTTTAGAAATAATAATTAATATCATTTCTAGTACTACCATACACCTTATAATAATAATAATAATGGTAATTATGATGATAAAGATAATCATGATAATTAGTTGAAGTAATACAAAAGAAGAAAGAGAGAGGATTGTACATACCTCATCAGCGAACTGAATACGCTGTGTTTCTGTGTCCTGATAATCAATCCGTAACTTAGCTGATAGTCGATCTGTGCTTTGTATTTTCTTTTGCTGTTCATCGTTGTTTTCCAGTTCATTTTCCAGAAACTGTTGCTTCTCTCTAACGATTTCCTCATGTGACCGAACCTCACCTTTTACATTCGCAAGATCCTGAAGAATACAAATAAATACTAATGCATGCAACACTTAAATATCTTGAACAGATGAATGTAATAAAGATGTAATTTATTGTGATTTATGTTGGTTTTTATCAAAGAAAAGAAGTCTATAGAATGAAAATTACATTGGCAAGTTGGTCCATTTCACGATCCCTACGCTGCATTTGGTCGATGGTAGCTTCCCATTGCCGAATTAACTCTGTCCTATCTTGGTGAGCTTTGCGAAATTCCTCTGCTGTTTTGTCAAGTTCTAACTAAAAGAGAGAAAAAAAAAAAACATTAAAAACTATTAACAACATTCATTTAATAACTTTTAAACAATCTGAGGTATAATTACAGAAATATGAAAAACAATTATTGTAGATTAGAGGCGGCCAAATTGTGTTTTAATGGGCAGCATTATACATTTTTTAGATTTATTTCTTTCATATAGCCGGAGCAACAAGATGTTGGTGGCTATAGTATGGCTAAAAGGCAGGCAAACTCTGGGCCAACGGTCAACATCCGACATGATTCCAAGGAGTACACCATGAGACAAGTGGAGTGGAGTTGAATAGCTCAGTGGTTAAGATGCTTGCCTTCTAATCCCAGGGTCCTGGGTTCAATTCCTGTGACAGGAGGACTTTTACTCAGGATGATGAAATTTCCTGATAAAAGCATCACATTATTAAATTTCTTTAAAAACAGGACCCCTGAATATCAGCCGACCTTCTAGAATTTTTTTTTTTCATTTCGTTTCTTTAGACATGAGTGCCACGGATATGCCAATCAGCGAACTTAATCACTATCCTACGTGCCATATCCATTAAACAACAGGGGACTGAATGGACCAGTACACCGGGGTTACCCCCTACTCTTCTCGAAGGAGGTACTGGGTTCTTAGAAGTGCACACGAGCCAAATGAGTACACTGGGCCTACGCTTTAAAGTCCTTATCCGAGAAGACTTGTTCTACCACTGGAAATATAGGCGAGTGAGCTGTTCGAACCAGCGCCGATATATTAGCTGATGGTTACGGTGCCCCTGACTTAACCGCTCGTCCAATCAACTCGCCTCCTGGATACGCTGAAAGGGTCACCCTCTATAAATATGGTAAAAAAAAGGTTTGCCCAACAGACCATGGGCTGGGCCCAACTCTTACCTGGGCTGTTAACGTCTGCGTCATCTCATGATCAAGAAGCTTCTTTTTCTTCATCGACTCATCAGTCATTTTCTGCATCCTTAATGATATTTCCTAGAAACCAAACAAAAAGACATTTTTTAGACTTAAAGTATTAATGGCTTTCATTTCAAATTTATAAATCACAAAATATTTAAAAAATTAAAAAGTCTATGGATTGTAAAAAAATAAAAACAAAACAAGGGTACAGATTTATGGAAATGTCAAAAAATAATTAAAAAGATGAAATTTTTCTTGCCAAGCCAGCCCCCACCCCCACACCACCTGGAGTATGGAGATACACCTTGTCATTGGCCAGTGATTGACCTAAATAAACAAAGGTCAGCACCTGTTGCATGTCAGTTTAATAATTAAGAATTAATTTTTCTAAAACTTTGCTAGGCACATGCTTGTATGGCCCTTTAAAATTACACCTGGAAGAGTCTCACCTTGACCTTTGCCTCGTCCATACGCGTGTACTTGGCTAACGTCATGGAGTCTTCGTCTTTCCTAGCGGATTCCTCCAGCCATGCTTCTAGTGCTTGTTGGTCCCAGTTCATCTGGGATTTCAGCTCCTCCAGTTGCTTTGTATCTTTAAATATAGTATTCTGGAGGAAAAATCATCAATCAATTAATATGGTATTATAATCATTATTATTATTATCATCATTGTCATTATTAATAATATTAATTATTATTATTATATTAACGTAATTATCATTACTATTTTTATTATCATTACAGTATATTATCATTATTAGTGTTATTTTTACTATTTAACATTATTATTTTTAATATTATATTATCAATGTATTATCATTATTAATAAAATCATCTTCATCATTTATTTTTATAATTATTTTTTTATTTTAAAAAAAATGTCACCATTTATTAATGTTAGTCCCACACATATTCCTATAAAACTAGTAAGCAGTTCATATGCATCCATCTATTCCTTCTAAAAAATGTAACCATCCTGAGTATAAATCCTGTGATTGGATGCGAATAAGCAGAACTTACTTCATATATATTTTTTCTTTCTTTAATATCAGTCAAGTCATTTTCAACCCGTTTGATCTCCTGCTTCAGTCTACCTTCTTCTCGCAGGGCAATCTGCTTCAGGTGATCTTCTGTTTCCACCTGGTGCTCGCGTGCTTTGCATAAACCCTGCAATGGAACATACGCTATGGTTCAACTTTCAAATAAATGTTAATCAATCAACATGGGTTTGTATAGCACCAATATCTACAGCAGACTGCATGTTCAGTGGTGCTATGACAATGAAACTACTAAGCTTAATTAACACTGCTATATATGTATATTTTTGTATATTATAACACACCTAAATAGATCCATCATTTGATTGGTGGATTCCGTACCACGTAACATTGGTTATTTTGCTGTTCCATTCAACTCATGTAAATATTCTTCCCCTTGTACTCATAAACATTCATTATTTGTTTACTATTTAATGGAAAGGTTTATTAATTTAAAGAAATATAGACATGAAATATGATTCACTTATTTTATTCATATAGAATAGAAGCCCATGGGCTTAATCTCGAGAAGAAGCCCATCTCAAAAAAGAGCCCCCTCTTTAGTTTGCAAAAGTAACCTCAAAAAGATGGCCATTTTTAAAAGAAGCCAATGGGCTTTTAATAAAGAAAACATGGGCTCTTCATTTGAGATACAGTAGTAGTACTAGCATTAACACTGACGTTGTCTTTTGATTATTATGTACTGTTATTGTACTAGCATGTTAAAATTTTAAAAATAGTAACCAGAAATTCAAAATACCATAGTTGAAAAATGTTGTATAGTAGCATTTCCAAAATTTAAAGCATTCATTGGAAAGCTCCCCCGCCCCCACCCTCTTCAGTTTGCAAAAGTAATCTAAAAAAAAAACACTATCTCGAAAAGTGGCCCATCTCGAAGTGAAGCCCAGGGCTTCTATTTTAACTTTTACAGTATTTTGCGACTTTCCCACATTCCATGAAAAGTTTTTCATTTATAATATCTAAAAGGTCAAATACAGAAGGTTTGTATTTCATGGGCAGGTTGGCACATGCGGTACTTACCAGGGTATGGGTTAGCTCTTGGTTCACGTTACGGGAGTGCTCGGACAAAGCATGGACTTTGTCATCATGTGTACTTAACTCCTGTTGCAACTTCACAATTTCTTGCTGTTTACTTTGTACCTGTGAGGGAGAGAGAACACAATTGAGATAAATTTTCAACGAACATGATAACCAGCAGACCTTATATGGGCAACGGATTCAATACGGAGCTTTTGATTTGTTCGATGATGTGACGCTGGAGCAGAATCACTCAAGCATGACCGTCCTACCGAACGTCCTACGTTCTCTACATACATAGATTTGGCCAAATTGCATCCTAGAATCCACGCAACGAGAACTTATCATTCTCGCATGCACAGATGACTTTTAGTGACGTCATTACGTTCTACATCCTACCATTATCGTGCAATCGATAGTTCCCTATTTTCTCACACATCCCTGTACCTCCGTTCTGAATTGATTAATTAAACACTATCCAGATAAAATTTTACTAAACAAATCATAGAATTCGGTAACGGTCTTCCATTTCTATAGTGCATACTACAGTGCAATGTCTCTATGCGCTTTTTTATCCAGTGTCAAGCATACAAAAAAGGACATAATTAAGAAAGAAAAACAATTAAAAGAAAGGGTGCTAAGGAACTTTAGTACTCCACACTAACCCTAACCTTAACAATAACAAAGCAAGACTTGAGTTATGGTTAAGGTTAGGGTGAGTTTGGAGTACCAAAGTGCATTAGTGCCAAAAAAAGAATAATAAGAAAGATTAGAATTATGAAAAAAAAAAAAAAAAAAAAAAAAAAAAAAAAAAAAAAAAAAAAAAAAAAAAAAAAAAAAAAGATTTTTGTTGAGATTCAAATAGGGCCAAAGTATTATTTTCAATTCAATTCATATTGCAAAGTACAGAGCCTTGCATTATGAATGTAAACTACAGGTCTCCATCTAATAAAGGACCACTCCAATTAAAGACCACCTCCAATTAAAGACCACCTCCAATTAAAGACCACCTCCAATTAAAGACCACTTTTGTGTGGTCCCAAATTAACACATGTCTTTTATTTTTATTATTCTAATTAGAGACCAAAGTTGCTGAAGACCATGAAAACCCCAGTCTTAAAAGTAAAAGTGGTCTTTAATTGGAGGGAGACCTGTAACATATTCAATTATTGTACTAATACTGCACACTGCAGAAGGCATGGAATCTATTATTTTATTAAATAATAATACATCTTTTTAAACTACAGTATCTAGGCCTAATCACAGTACTTACAAGTTCTTCCAGTATCTTATTCTCCGCATTAGCTACTGGAACTTTGAGACCCTCGTCCCAGTCCATGTCTCCCAAAATTCCTTTGACGCTCATCTTCAACTGTTTAATACGCTAGAAAAAAATATTTTTTTATTTTATTTTACAATTGAAGTCTAGGCCCCTACTACTAATAAATAATATATATAACATGCTTATATTTAAGAAGTACCAATCATACAATCCCCGGTTCAATTTCCATCGCTGCCTCTCCTTGTGTTTCAGCTAGAGGGCTGAAATACAAGTTACAATAGCGCACCGTCTTTCGGATGAGACGTTTAAGCCGTTGGTCCCGTGTGCATTATGGCCCATGTGCACGTTAAAGAACGCAGTACACTCTTTGGAAAAGGGTAGGGGATTGTCTCCCGGTGTACTGCCCAATCACCACCAGAAGGACCCCACTGGAAATAAGTCTTCTTCTAGACTTTCGTGGGCTATCCTTGGTGTTTACACCGAATAAATCCAATCCAATCAAGTTTAAACATATTATATTTTTTAGGCCCATTTCATTGGATTAGGCCTTTTTCACGAATCGGTAGACATCGTGAAGTGATGACAAACATTGCAAATCAGCGGTGCGTAACCAACAGAAATAAGATAAGCATTTGGGCGGATTTTCTGACATCACGTTATTTAAAAAATTATAACTCCATAACGGGGCATCGTATCCAAAAATTTTTTCGAACAAAATGTTCTTAAAAGACTAGTCTACACCACTATATGATTGAAAAACTTTCACTTTCGTGTTGTTACTGTTCCAGGTACCGATAATATACAGATTTCTCTTATATTATAAAGTACAAGTTATGTTTTATAAAGAAGTATAGTATAGGCCTAGGCCTAGTAAATAATGTTTTTAACACAGGACACTCTCATATGGTAACTAAAACAATGCTAGTCCAGAGTATTACTAGAGTACTACTGCACTGTAATGCATATATACCTATTTTAATACACTACTTAGATAGGCTTTTCTTTTTCCATCTTGATTTCAGAGGTGAAAAACAATTTTTTTTCAATCATATCCGCCCAAAAGCTTATCTTATTTCTGTTGGTTACGCAATGTTTGTCATCACTTCAAGACATCTACCGACTTACTCTAGTCTAGGCCTAGTCCATTGGCCGCGGCCAAGTCCGCACTCCTGTCCGAGCCAGAGACGTACTAGGGCTAGGCCTAGGTAGGGAATTCGATCCAACTCGGCC